TTTTAAAAGTCATTCAGGTGGAGCAGAGGGCAGCTCAGTTCTGAAGGTGTGTGTCTGTGTGTGTGGGTGTGTGTGTGTGTGTGTAAGGCAAAGGCTATGTAAAAAAGTAACCATAGCAAACCTATCCCACACTATATGAAATAAAACTTGTTGAGTAACAGCAGTTTTCCTGTCCCACAGATAAAGTAACAAGCCCAATCTGGTGTCGGAAGTTATGGATATTTGCTGTTATGATTACATACAAAGATCAGATTCAGAACTGATTTCAACCCACAGGCTGATGACATAGTCACCATTACATAATCAGTCAATTTTCTGCATTGTTTCACTACAAAGAAACAAGGCAGCAGCTGTGCAGCAGGCTGCTGGCTCCAGTCCAGCTCTCCTTTGCTTACATCATAGGAAACAAGGACAGTGCCGGCAGCATCATGCTGCGGGATGCTGTTCTGCAGCAAGGCTGTTAAAACTGGTCAGGGATGATGGAAATACAGGTAAAGCTAAATGCCCAGAAATCCAGGCTGAATCTAAGTCTGATTAATGTTGAGCTGTGGAAATATGCCATGAAAGACTTGCATAAATTTAAAGCAACATGCATGGTTCAATTTTTAGATTATTATATTAAAAAATTAGAAAGATTAAAAGAAAAAAATCAAATTTAGAGTTTTGACGTGACAAAATGTTCATAAGAAAATTTTATGACATGACTTTTTGTTCTTCAGGTGGCACTGTTATATTGAGTTAAGCTCCTTAATTTTGTTAATTTTGTTTTCTTTTCTCAAACTTTCATTATTTCACTTTGGAGCTATCCTCTCAACAACAGTCAGAGTCACTACCTTAGAAAGAGTAAAAACTTGTCATTAAAATAAGTTCCCTGGAAAAGTTACATGTTGGACTAAAAAGTAGACTTAAAATATCAATTTTGTCTTTAAAGGTGTGATTGTATTTAACGTAAAAAGCTGCACCTTCAGTAGAGATGCTGCATCATCGTGATCAGGATGTGCTAAGCTTTCGGATCAGGAAGTGTTTGTAGTCATAAAACATTATATTTTAAATCATGTGAGAGCGTGTCCACAAGATGAAGGTTTGCAGAAGTTTACCATTAAATGGCAAACATAGTGAAATCAAACCTATATTTCTGATATAGAAATGTTTAAAGTTATTGAGCCTCCTGCACTTTCCTTTCACCCAGACTGGTGATGGATAAACAGGAATGTTCAATGAAGACGTGATTGATTACATGTTTTGTTTATCTAACAAAGACGTAGATCCATCCCATTCAGAGCGTAGTGAAAGCCGTCCTTATCATTAGTCACTCTGCAAACTAATATGAATAAAAGAAAAGGACTTTGTTTAATCACTGCCAGATTTTCTTCTATTTATTCCAACGTTGTGTATGCTGAAGGTCAGTCATCTTACCTTTCCATGGAGTTAGGAGTAATAGAGCCAAACGTCAACGCATCAGGGTGTGCAAAACCTTTGGATATTATAATAACCTTTGACCTGCTGGTAGTTATACCACACTAGTGTTAGCAACAAATAGGCAAAAGAATAGACCATAAAAGCTATAAAGACAGATATTATTTTATATAGTCTAACACATTAATAATGGATTTTGGTTAGGGTTAATGTTAAAATATCAGTTAGTGTTGCACTGTGGAGTAAACATTTACAATGTTACCTTTCCTTTTATAGAGGGTCCTTGTTTTTGTTTTTTATGGGTCCTACCAGTTCTCCGCATCCTAGTGTGGGTTTAATTTGTGCTCCAACTTTCTCCCAACTAGAAAACATGCATATTAGTAGGGCGGAAACATTTAATTGTATTAATCGTGATTAATCGATTACTGAAACAATCGTCAAATCATTTAGTAATCGATTAATGGTTAACTGGAGTATAGAGACTCTGAAAAATGCCTGACAGACCGACCCATTTAGGGCAGCAATTATACCAAAATTGCAACAACAAAAAAAACGTAAATATTTTGTAATTAAGATTTTTCTTTTTATTGTCTCTTAAAGGTATAGCTCAAGAGAGCTTGCCCAAGCCCATTTCTCCTCCTCTGTTTAAAAGCCGCTCTTTGCATCGCTCATACAAGCAATGGCATAATTATCGGTAATCAAAGACTGCAGTTGCTTAGGGGCCCCCCTACTTCTTAGGGGCCCGTCACTGACACCAAGTTGGCCCCCTACTCAATTGAGGACTAGGACGTCTCTTTGCAGATATAATGGTGCAAAAAATTCCTCTTCAACCAACCTGATACTAATATAAATGGCCGAACCTTATTTATACCCCAACCCAGATTTCAATGTAATGGTGAGCCGTTTAAACACGACGCCAATAGCAAAGCAGACAGTGGTATTTTTAATTACTATGTTAAAGACTGTGTATAGTTCATTACACGGTTGGTAAAAAATAAACTCATATAGTATGTTTTAAAACGCAATAAAGATCCTAAAAGAACTATGTATTGGAGTATTTAATTTTTACAATACGACTTGGAATTATGGGTATTCCAGAGCGTAGATTAAAACCATAACTGTTATGTACAATGTGTTAGCGACGACGGATACCAAAAAGAGGTACTTGAGCAGATTCCAGAAAAGCAAAAGCAAAGAAGAGCTGCTGGAAGAATGGAAAAAACTTCCCAAAATAAACACATTCTTTCCAAGAACCAAAGATGGAGAGGAGGACATTGGTGCTACAGTGAGTGAAGGAGATGAATGGAGAGAGGTGGGTGAGGAGGGGGGCTGTGAAGCTAAAGGTAGCCTGATAAGACTCATTTCACAGCAGAATATACTAAACTATATCCATGTCTAGTGAAGGTAAAGAATGATGGGGCACATTTCGGGTCGGTTGGGGGTAAACGGGGTGTTGTACTTCATATGGGGCCCACCCAGATTATATTGCTTATGGGCCTATTGTTGTGTCGTTACGCTAGCGTTGTCACGATACTAAACTTTTCAACTCGATATCGATACTAAGGAAAATATTCGATACTCGATACCATTTTCAATACCACAAGAAAAAAAACAAAGACTCCAAAATTCAACAGAAATATTTTCATTGATAAATAAAATACAATAAATAAATACAATAAACAATAAGAACAATATTTTGAGGTTGATTGCTGTGAACAATATAAAGCAAGCTTGATAAAAACTTACAAAACTAAAATTAAGTGTTCCTTCCTTGGCTTTGCACACATAACAATGACACTAGCCAAACCAGTTAAGAAACAAAAAATATTCTCAGCAGCTGCACCGCTTACAAAAAAAGTCTAAAACTGAAAAGTGCTCAGAATTATTCACTCACACAGTGTTCAGAAAGTGCATTGTCCTCTATTCTGCACTTTAGATGAATGACTGCTTAGGTGCCACTGGTGGTGGCACTGTATCGATACTTTTAAAAACGAGTATTGTATCCGGATACAACATTTCAGTATCGATACTTTTTTGAGTGTCGATACTTTTGACAACCCTACGTTACGCCATTGCATACAAGCTTACTCTCCAAAAGAAGATTTGCAATTGTTCCACTATGTCAGACTCACCACCGGTAAGTGAAAATGGAGACGAGCGCGTAGGACGGACTTACGTCAACATATCACCAGAATGATTGACAATTAGGAGGACCAATTATTTTGATGATCCACCCTAAAAAAGAGCATCCCCCACTATACCTTTAATGTGCTCTATCCAGAAATCCTCAAGTGGAAAAGTTTTACTTTCAAATAGTTTGATTTTATAAAATATTTCCTTTCAGGATCCTATCTGATTATTAATCAATTAATCAACAGATTAACCAATTTGCAAAATAATCATTAGTTGCAGCGCTACACATTAGATTAATAAATAGAATCAAACATATAATATTATTTAGATTTTTTTTAGTTTGCGCCATTTTGCACTACAAGTCATTCAGTGTAAACAAAGATAGATAAAACAGTGATTAAAGGAATAGTACACCCAAAACATGATTAGCCTTCATTTTCTACTCACCCCCATGCTGAACAAAACTCTGGAGTACTTTTTTGATATCTCAAATGCATCTGGAGATCTGGGAGGCTTCTTGCTGTCTGCTGACATTCAAATAATGGAGGTCTATGGCGCCCGAGACAGAAAGGTCCACAAAAGTCCACAAAAACTTGTCAATATTCCTCCATACTGCTCGTCCAATGTAATCCAAGTGTCCTGAGTGGGTAGCATCCAGATTTTACTCGAAACGAAGTCATTTAGAACGTTTTAGAGCCTAAACAGTAGTGTATAGGATTTCCTAATAGCGCCCCCATGCGCGCTCGCGATTCTACGGAAGCCCGCAGACCAAACCAGCGCATTCAGCTCGGCAAAGAACTCATGCTCTTCCTCAACACTGAAGTCCTCAGACATTTTTCTTTCGTTGTTTCTTTCTTTGCACAGGTAAACAGCACATTTCTTCTTCTACGCTTGCATTATCGGCAGACCAGACGCTGAATGCGCACTTTCTTCCGGTTTGGTCTGCCGGCTTCCGTAGAATCGTGAGCGCGCATGGGGGCGCTATTAGGAAATCCTATACACTACTGTTTATGCTCTAAAAACATTCTAAATGACTTCGTTTCGAGTAAATTCTGGATGCTACCCACTCAGGACACTTGGATTACATTGGACGAGCAGTATGGAGGAATATTGACACGTTTTTGTGGACTTTTATGGACCTTTCTGTCTCGGGCGCCATGGACCTCCATTATTTGAATGTCAGCAGACAGCAAGAAGCCTCCCAGATCTCCAGATGCATTTGAGATATCAAAAAAGTACTCCAGAGTGTTGTTCAGCATGGAGGTGAGTAGAAAATGAAGGCTAATCATGTTTTGGGTGTACTATTCCTTTAAGTATTGCATAGAAGCTGTGTGTCATATTAACGTAAGTGCTCTGTTTTCTGCACTAATGAGAATCAGCGTGGCTGAGGCCTCTCCCACTGTGAGGAAGAGAGAGAGAGAGCAAGCATTGAGTAGAAGCGTTTCCTCTCCTCTATAAATGCAGCAGGGAGCGCACATCTGGCTGCAGTGAGGCGTGGTTGCTCAGATCTGACAGGTGGCCAAGGATCAGGACCTGCTTTTCTCCTACACACAAACACAACAGCAGCAAGATGCCAAAGTGCCCCAAGTGCCAGAAGGAGGTTTACTTCGGTAAGATTTATGCCTTTTTCTCTGCATTTTTTCCTCTACTTTTAGATCTATCTTATTTCCTGGTTGCTTAAAATGTGCGTCCTTCTTGCTCAAATGAGGAAACAGGAAATCTGAATGAAACGAAAAATGCAACACATGTTTTAAAAACCAATTTAAAAAACCTCCACATATATTTAATTTTACCAAAATAAAAATCTATGTACATTTTTTATGCATTTGACATCTAAGCAATGAACGAGACAAGTATTTCACGCTCAGCACATTCAATTCAAAGCATAAATTTTATGTTGAACATTAGTTATAGTAAGAGATAACAGATTAGATTAACCTAATAGTAGCCATTTAATTAAAAATGTTTTATTTACTTCTGAGTTGCATGTGTTTTATGTATAAAACATAATGGAAATATTCATATGTGGAGGGGTTGATGTAAATGTTGCAAATGAAAAGTTATTTTCCTTCATTTTAAATGGTAATTCATTAAAATCGCCCAACAGCTGCAGGTTTGATTTGATTTTAAATTAAGAAAAAATTGCATTTAGTCACAAGATATCTGACAGAGTCTCTGAGTTCACTTTCTTATGCTCCTCTGATGTAGATAGATGTTAAATGGATAGTTCACAATCTTTCTGTTTGCCTCTTTTAAAAGTAAATGACATCAGACCTGCGCAACATAATCCAGTTGATTTCTTTATTTTGTATAAAACAAGAGTTGTTGGACCAAGAAGTTATTTAGAAAGGGGCCTAAAGAGGGGACTCCCTTTCCAGTCTCATAAATGTGCATAAGATCTATTCACCGTAGCGTTGGGTGGTTATTTACTAATTAACTCACACATGTCTTAGAAACTGAAATCATGGGCTGGGCACTACTGTTTATGTTTTTATATGAACTGTGAATGGAAGATAAGAAGTGCATCCATTTGGAGAAAATGTCTGTTGCAAAAGAAAAGCAAAGTGGAATAACAACAAAATAGTTCTTTCCTTAAATTGCTGTCAAATATTTGCTTTTTCTATTGCTTCATTTTTATATCTGACCGTTACTCTGACCGGAAAACCTTTTCTTGTTCCCTGCTCTGCACAAGTTTCACACAGGAAGATAAGCGGTGGTACGCCCTCTACCTCACGTACCTTTCCACATGATGTAGATGTGATGAGGATTTAACTAAACTATAGATATTAACTCCTTATAAAGCTTTAATAAAACATAATTCCAAATTTTTTGGAATTCTCTCTTTAAGGATTCATCTCCATAACGACCATGTATTTTTCTGAGGTTGGAATCTTTTGGGCTAAAATAAGTCAGAAAATGCAGCATAGTTGTGAAAAAGGTATAATAGTGATTATATATAGTATAATATAGTATATATAGTATAATAATAACTCTATAGATTTGTGCTGCAGCAGTCTCTGGGTTCTCTGCCCTCTGAGCTTTTTCATTATGAGGTTAATTTGGATTGGAAGATCTTTGCCTGATTAGGGACCCAATCCTTCACCGTATCTAAGCTCCATGAGTAATGAGCAGAGCAGAGGAAGTAGGTTTCTGATTTTGTAAACTACTCCCTTATTCTGTGTCCCACGAGATGCCCCGGGCAAAGCTGAATTTAATCACCCGCCGACTCCATGTTTTTCTTCTGTCTCTGTCCACCAGCAGCTTCATTCTTGGTCAAAGTGGCGTGGAAGCCAAAGAAAAGCGCAAAGCCAAGTGTTTGGACTGTGTGATCGTTGAGCCAGTCGTTCTGTTCTCCTTCATGGTTAATCTTTTCCCTTCCTTCCAATATAATCAAACCAGTCAGCTTCTGCCAGAACAGAACAAGCATTAAGTCTGCCTCCATGATGGAAGTTCTCTTTCATAGCTGAGGGGATTAAAGCATGAAACAATACTTTTTCATTCTTTTTGAAAACAGACATATTTATCTTTAAGTGTCCAAATTAATTTCCTATCTCCTATATAAACGGCCTCTCTATCACATCTTCCCATTGCTGATGCTCAGATGGAAACAATCAAGCTACCGCTGCCTGAATGATGGAGATCCAACAACAGGAGAATGTTTTTCTCTTGTTGGAAGCTCTTCAAAATGTCGGCGTTTTAGCAGCAATACCTCAGCCGAGCCAAATGGGGAGTGTTTTCGTCTACCCTAAGGCATTGAGTGAAGGAGAATTTTTTAGAACCACAAAAATGAGCTCCGCTTGGTTTCCCACATGAGTTATTTATCTTGACGGTTATGGGTCTGTTCTTAATTGCCCTTGGATAACTATAACAGCCCTAAACAGGAAGAAGCCTTAAAAAGACTTATAAACAACTTATATCTTATCTGCAGTAGAAAACAATCTTGGTTATCTATTTATTTCATTGAGAAATCCAGATTAGTTTGCTAGAAAAGGTTGAAAAAGAAGGGCTAGTCCATGAGGGACTAAACTGGTGCTGCAACTAACGATTATTTTGCAAATCGTGTAATCTATCATTTGTTTTTTCAATTATTCATGTAATGATCAGATAGCGAAAGGTTTCCCAAAGAAGATTTTTTGCCAATTTAAACCAGATAAAACACAAACTTTTTTTCCGCTTGAGGAGTTCTGGATACAGCATATAAACCGACAGAAAAATGTTTTTATCTTAAATGCTAAAGGTTTATGTATTTTTATTACAATCTTTGTATAATTGCTGCTCTAATAGGTCGCTCTGGTGCTAAAGGCATATTTTATAGTCTGTACTCCAATTAATTATTAATCGATTACTAAATTAGTTGACGATTATTTCAATAATCGATTATTACAATTAATGAAATTAATTGTTTCAAACCTCGACTAAACCAAAGCACTCTTGTAGTTCTTAAAACAGTCCCATTCGCAAAGAAACTTCACAGTGAGAAGCATATGTTTCTGCACAGGGGAGGCTGAAAACGGGCTGTAAAAATAAATCGTGAGAAAGCGTCTTCGGTCAAAGGTCTGATGGAAATGAAAATCAACATTTTGATTGCAGTTTATAATTCTTATCGCCCCTTGGTTTAATGTTTTTGTTACTTGAGTTACCGAAAAATGTATTACATGTTCTGTTGTTGTGTTCCTAACAGGAGGATCACTGGTGCAACAGCTCCTACTTCCTATTTCCTGTGTATACAATCATTTCCTTATATGTAAATTACCGCCAAATGCAAATATGATGAAAGTTTAAACGTTTTTCTTATCAAAACTGTCTCCTGACTTCTTTCTAGACAGTAAATGTTCACTTTGCTGTTGGTCCCTCTCAAATTACCAACTACCTAATCTGGATTAACACCAAATTAGGACACATAAAAGGATGAAGAATGATGTTAACTTATAAGTATCCCTTTTTAAACCAGATTAGACTTTTTGCACAACCGATTCTGACAACGTCTCTTCATTAATCTTTGCTGGGATGGAATGAACCAAAGGGTTAACCAGCTGATGACGTTTTTCTTGTGAGTTTCGTGTGTCTGTGTATACTGGACTGCTTCCACATTGCTCCAGGCAATGAGGGTTGATACAGAAATCCAAAGGGATCATTTGTCCTCAGTCTTTCATACCTCATTTAATCCTCATTTTATCAGGTAGAAACATAACAGTTGGCCTTATCAGACAGATAAAATGAGCATAATTACAGCAGATTAGAGTCGACCCTGTTTATCTTGTTGGGCTAGCCCTCTTGTTTACCCTACCTAGTGGTTTGTTATCGGAGGTTAAATAATGATTTGCACAGGCTGGGCGTTTTTGTCCAAAACCCCACCGCCTTAAGTTGAGATGTTTTCCTAGACTTGGCTCAAGAGTCTGACCCACCTCAGGAGACTCTTACACATACTTCTCATGGCTTACATGTAATCCTTTGCTACAGTCGGTTATTTTTAGGGCCAAAATTATTCATTTCCTGACATGATGTGTATGTTTGGAGGCTAGTGGCTTTGCCTGATGTTGTGGTTGATTCCCCTTCTTTTCAGTATCCACAGGCATTACTGAGCATTAGGAAAGAGATTGGAGTTTTCTTTGGACTATTTGCAAATATCAAAATAAAAAGAACATATAAACCATGTTAAAAATCTTTTTTCAGCCTCCAAGATTATTTTTTCAATATATACTCATATATAAATGACATTTGTAGATGCAGAAGAGCTGTTCCTTTAACGTCACCTCTGATCTCTAAGAGGTATTAAATAATCCAAGATGTTTTCTATCTATTATCTATGTCATGCCATGGATGAGTGTCGGTTGGGTGCAAAGAAAACACGATTAAAATTATGCTATGTACTAAAAACATTCCAAAACAAACATGTATAGCAACAGATAATTGCTATTGTATTGATTTTTTTTCTATTTTGTAACACTAGTGATAAAAATCACCCAGCCCCTGTTGCTTTGATCTAAAATAGAAAAGCAACGATTGCTTTGCAGCTCAGCCTTGATGCGCTCTCTTTCACGTCCCTGAATGTTTTTTTTTTAAACAGACTTATTTGTGTCTTGGTGAACTTGGAAAGTGCAGCAACCTTTTCCCAGCTGACCAGCAGTGCACAGCAACAGGTTGGGGAGGGGAACCTCTGCCTTAATGCTATATACAGGAAGATTGAGGGAGATTTAAGTCATTTAGAATATTTTACCAATTAAAATGAGAAAATCTGCCCTGAAGCTACTTTACCCACCAGGACAGAACTCCAATAAAATTTCTTATCCTTCCATTTCCTTCCAGCAGCGTTTCTCTCTTTCTTCACCTCAACTGGCGACTCCTGGTTTTAATCTAATCTTGGTGTTTAAACATAAATAGTTAAGTTCCAAATCATAATGTAAATCTACATCTACATCTAGATGGAACCATTAGCTCCTCGTTTTCAAAAAGCCGCAGCTCTGCTTTCCTCATTTCCTTTCCGATAAAGGCGTTCTCACTAAAACATGTTTTCTTTATTAGTGGATGCAAATCCTCTGTCTCACTTCTCCTCCCGTCATGAGTGCAGAAAATGCATTTGAAGCTCTGTCAGTTCTAAGGCAGATCCATAATGCAGGGCGGTTCTGCTATATTTCTTCCCTCTTTTACAGTTCTCCTGGGTGGATGTTTTTCACAGATCATCCACAACTGATAAAGTTTTATCAGACTTTATGAGGCAAAAGGAGAACAGATTCCCTCAGGGACAGTCTGTCTTTTTTCCGCCCCTCGACCACACCTAACAGTAATTCAATTCAATTCAGTTTATTTATATAGCGCCAAATTCACAACACATGTCATCTCAAGGCACTTTACAGTTCAACCAGATCATACAGTCAAATTGATACAAAGTTTTCTATCTAAGGAAAACCAGTTGATTGCATTGACTCATTGACTCAAATACAATCCCCCACACTAAGCATGCTTGTAGCGACAGTGGAGAGGAAAAACTCCCTTTTAACAGGAAGAAACCTCCAGCAGAACCAGGCTCAGTGTGAGCGGCCATCTGCCGAGGCCGACTGGGGTTCAAGGAGACAGAAGCAGAGATACAAAAAGCAGCTGTAAAAGGCGGCCCCGTCCAGGAAACACACAGCCAGGCAGACGAGCTCCAAGGCAGCTCCCATGCCAGAGGACGAAGAGAGCACATCCACTCAGTCACGGTCAGAGAAACAGGACCACACTGGAAAACAGGCCGATCTCCAACATCTATTAACAAGGGTGTTGATAGAAGCAGCACAGCTAATGTTTTTTTCCAGGATGACGTCACAGCCAAACAGGAACAGACGAGGCAAAGCTACTCTGAGGAAAAGCAGAGAGAGCAGAAGGTTAGAGATTGAACTAACAGATTCTGCAGAATAGGAGAACAGAGAGAGAATGAAGCAGAATGATGAAATGGGGGTCCCTATGTCCTCCAGCAGTCTAAGCCTATAGCAGCATAACTATAGAGATAGCTCAGGAAAACCTGAGCCACCCTAACTATAAGCTTTATCAAAAATGAAAGTTTTAAGCCTAGCCTTAAAAGTAGACAGGGTGTCTGCCTCACGGACTAAAACTGGTAGTTGGTTCCACAGGAGAGGAGCCTGATGACTAAAAGATCTGCCTCCCATTCTACTTTTAGAAATTCTAGGAACCACTAGTAAACCTGCAGATTGAGAGCGAAGTGCTCTGTTAGGAACATAAGGAACAATCAGATCTCTGATATAAGATGGAGCTTGGCCATTTAAGGCTTTATATGTGAGAAGGAGGATTTTAAATTCTATTCTTGATTTAACAGGAAGCCAATGAAGAGAAGCCAGGATAGGAGAGATATGATCTCTCTTTTTCATTTTCATTAGAACTCTGGCTGCAGCATTTTGGATCAGCTGAAGGCTTTTAACTACAGTTTGTGGACTTCCTGATAGTAAAGAATTACAATAGTCCAGCCTTGAAGTAACAAATGCATGGACTAGTTTCTCAGCATCACCCCTGGACAGGATATTTCTAATTTTTGCAATGTTCCTCAGATGAAAGAAGGAAATTCTAGAAACCTCTTTGATATGGGATTTAAATGACAGGTCCTGATCAAAAATAACACCAAGATTTTTTACTTTATTATCTGAAATCAGTTTAATCCCATCCAAATGAAGTGACTGGCTAATCAGTTTCTTTTTCAGAGACTCTGGTCCAAAGACTATAACTTCTGTTTTGTCTGCATTCAGAAGCAGAAAATTAAGAGTCATCCAGGTTTTTATGTCTTCAAGACATGCCTGTAATCTATGTAATGGGTTAGCTTCATCTGGATTTATAGACAGATATAGCTGGGTATCATCAGCATAACAGTGGAAATTAATCCCATGCTGTCTAATAATTCTACCAATTGGGAGCATGTATAAAGTAAAGAGAATTGGTCCTAGCACTGATCCCTGTGGTACTCCACAGGTAACCTTTGAGCGTGTTGAAGATCTATCATTAACATGAACAAACTGAATTCGATCAGATAGATAAGATTTAAACCAGTCTAGTGCTGTTCCTTTAATTCCAACAAAATATTCAAGTCTTTCTAAAAGAATATTATGGTCAACTGTATCAAATGCAGCACTAAGATCCAACAGGACGAGCACAGATACAAGTCCATTATCTGAGGCCATGAGAATATCATTAGTGACTTTCACCAGAGCTGTTTCAGTGCTATGATGAGCTCTAAAGCCAGACTGAAACTCTTCAAAAAGTTCATTATGGTGGAAGTGATCGCAAACTTGTTTGGCAACTACTTTCTCAAGAATTTTGGATAAGAAAGGAAGATTGGATATAGGTCTATAATTGACCAAGTCATCTGGGTCAAGAGACGGTTTCTTAAGCAGAGGTTTAATTACAGCAATCTTAAAAGCTTTAGGTACATATCCCTGTAACAGAGATAGATTAATCACATCTAAAATGGAGGAGGAGATCAAAGGGAATACCTCCTTAAATAACCTGGTTGGAACTGGATCTAACATACAAGTTGAAGGCTTAGATGAAGACAATAATTTTGCTAATTCAGAGAGTTCAACTGGATCAAAGCAGTCTAAACCCGGTTCAGATTCCATGACTACCTCAGGTACAATCGCGGATAGAGGAGTGCTTATGATCTTATTTTTAATAAGATCAATCTTATTTATAAAGAATCCCATAAAATCATTGCTGCTAAGAGCAGGTGGAATGGACGGTTCAACAGAGCTATGGCTCTGGGTGAGTTTGGCAACTGTATTAAAAAGAAATCTAGGATTATTCTTATTCTCCTCTATTAATGAGGAGAAGTATGCTGCTCTTGCTTTACAAAGGGTCCTCTTATACAGCAGTAAACCATTTTTCCAGACTAGGAAGGACTCTCGCAGGCCTGTGGAGCGATATTTTCTCTCCAGTTTCCTAGCATTTTGCTTCAAAGTACGCAGCTCTGCATTAAACCAAGGAGCAAGCTTTCTATTTTTAACGGTTTTCATTTTCAAAGGAGCTGCGTTGTCTAAGGCAATACGCAGAGAACTAGCAACCCCCTCAACAAAATCATCAACCTGTGAAGGGGAATAAGCTAAGCTTTTGCACTCTGCAGCACTGCTCAGTGACACAGAGGAGAGAGAAAGTGAAGCAGATTCTTTAAAATTTATAACTGCACTATCTGATAAAGATCTACTAAAATTGAACCTTCTTTTGGGGGAGGAGAACTCTGTTAAAGTAATCCTGAAGGTTATTAGAAAGTGGTCAGAGAGGACAGGGTTGTGAGGAAATACTGTTATTTCTTCACATTCTATGCCGTATGTCAGCACAAGATCCAAAGTATGAAGATGAGAATGCGTGGGACTATTCACATTTTGAACAAAGCCAATAGTGTCTAAGATAGCATTAAAGGCTGCTCTTAAGCTATCGCCTTCAATGAGGCAAATCTGCACTGAGTTCATCTTTGTGGTTTAAAGTAGACACGAGACTAAAACTTCCCAGCTCCATGAGCTCATGTGCCCTGCAGCCGGACTCTGCGGCTCCCATCTCCTCACCAGACGACAGTGCAGGTCTTTGTTGCAGAGGTCATTCTGCGATTGTTATTAATTTCTCTCCTTTTTGTGTGTTATTGCAGCTGAGAGGGTGACGTCACTGGGGAAGGACTGGCACAGGCCATGTCTGAAGTGTGAGAAGTGCAACAAGACGCTGTCTGCTGGCTCACATGCGGAGGTGAGCTAATTAAAATTAAATTTCAATAAAAGCTGTGACTCTTACAAATAATTTGATTACTATTAAAAAAAGATGCCCCCGATGTTTTTACTAGTTTTAATTGCTGATTGGAATATCAAGAACTAGGAAATTATATTTTTTCCCCCATCTTGTTTTCAGTCAATTATGTAAAACCATAACAAGTAAAACTATGAGTTAGTTTAAAAGTTTTAGCAATATTAGACATTATTTATATGCATATCTTCAATACAAGAGAAGGGCACTTGGAATCTCTCAATTTCTTTGTTGGATTCAAAACAATTTCATCTGTTAAAATAAGAAATAAATAAAAAAGTAGTGTAGTAGTGCTTTTTTTTTTTTTTTTTTGCAGTTGGTCAGCCTTTAAAAAATTTCCAGAAACAGGAATCACCCAAATAAGTTCTGAGAGGTGCATTGTGCATTCCTACAATAAAAAATAATCAACAGCTTGAATTAAATCAACATCTAATTTGACTTAGCCTCATTATACCATTACAATAACTTGTTTTATGTGTTTTTTTCCTCCTACAGCATGAAGGCAAGCCGTACTGTAACAAACCCTGCTATGCTGCAATGTTTGGACCTAAAGGTAATCCATCATTTCTTTAAATCATGTTTTATCTAGTCACCCCCTGAACTCTTAAAAACAGTCCCAAACTGTAAATATAATTATATAAATGCAGGTAATATTTGTCAGATACCACAGGACTGTTAAAGTTTTAACATTCCTGTTACTATGGTGTCCCGTTTTACATCTGAAAATTGCCCTTTTAAAACCTAATGTCTGGATTTCTTCCTGTCATTTAGGGTTTGGACGTGGTGGTGCCGAGAGCCACACCTACAAATAGACAGGTACTGTCCCCATATTTTCATGCCATTTGCATAGACTTCCTTGGAACAAGACTTGTCTTTGCACTTGGACCTGTGTAACTTGAGATTGCTTTGCTTCATCTGCAGGGCGAAGCATCGCGGCGTGAACGCTTTGTGGGAACAAGATTGAAGAAACCAAACCTCTCAGACAATGGAACACCTCTAAACAAATCGCTCGCTTCCATGCGGGGAACCAATTTGAATGCATTTGCTTTTGTTTGACCTGTTTTAGGCCATTTTGGGTTTTGTTTTTATTTTGTAATTTTATGTTAAGTCATGGTGACATTGTCCTTTGGCTTCCACTTTTCCAATGAAACATTATGAAATTTGTGTCTTTGATTTTTTTTTATTTTGTGGGATTTTTTTGTTGTTTGTTTTGTAAAGAAAAGTTCTGACAGTTTTTCCACTTAAGCAAAGTTTCGCATCAAATGACAATTATAGTAGAGCACTGTCATAAAATATATATGACTTTTTTAATGTTGAAGCCTAGTTTATTAAAAATAAAACTCTGGACATGGCACCGCCAGAGGCTGTTCTTTCATTAATGGTAATTAAACGAGATTTTCCTTTTATGAGTTCCATCGGCATCTTTAATAAGGACAGAATAATTACAGTTTACACTCGACCCAATTATACATTCCACTTTTCGAGCTTGTTTGGTTTCCAGATGGCGAACGTCCAGAAAATGTTTGACAATCCTCTCATTCAATTGTTTATTGTGATTGATGCTCATTTTCTTTATCAGTCGCTGTTTGAAGTTAGAGAAAGAGCAGATTTAGGAGGCCATTTGAAATAAAATAATCTTTTCTTTGACTTTTTTATGCATGTTATTAAGGCTTCAAGATAAAGGCTACTTTTGAGCTTACAGCTGTTTCAAATGAATTGCTAGACTTGGTTATGTTAAGAATTAGAAGATTCTAAAGGAAAAACAAAAGGAGTTTATCATTTGATAAGTTCTATGACTAACCACTTATGTTAAAAGTAAAAATTTCCTTTAAAATCACAGCTCTCAAAGGAAATATTAAAAGTGGCTGATACAGATTGGACTTAAAGGGTACTTCAAAACAAAATTCAGATGGGTCCATCTGATTTAAATAAGATAAATATCAATTTTATTGTAGCTCAAGTGGATGTTTGACTATTCTTAGCAGTTTTCAACAAACCACCTTATTCCGTTAGTCTATGGGTGTAAGGCGGGGTCCACCATGGGCAGGTTGCTAGTCTGTCGCAGGGCAACCACGCACACACTCACACCTAAGGACAATTTAGAGAAGCCAATTAATCTTAACATCATGTTTTTGGACTGTGGGAGGAAGCCAGAATACCCAGAGAGAATCCACTTATTCCCAAGGAGAACATGCAAACTCCATGCAGAAAGACTCCGGGATGGGAATCGAACCCAGACCCAGCAAAAACTGTTCCACTATTCAGTTTTCAACTTGAGAGGATCAGTTGGTTTAGTTTATGAAAAAGAAAGTAAAGTTCGTAATTGAGCTCAGAATCTGACGCTCCTTATCAGATGCATAGTAGATGCCCCTGACTGAAGCCACTCTGGGTGGGAATTCATCTGACTACAACATGAATGACCTTATTTGAGCTTTATCTGCAGGCAGAATTGATGGATAAATAAATATTTTTCACATTGGTTATTAGGTTTCCTGTTTCAAATGATTTGGTCATTTAAAAATAAAGCTCCATTGCAGAAACAGGAAACACCTCAAGTATTCTGGGGACACAACTCGATACAAAGGTCTATCTTTGAATGATAGAAGCAGCTATAATGAGGGGGATTTTCCAAATGTGAAAAAAGATAAAAAGAATGCAAAATACAAATGTGAACAAGAACAATATCATGCAATGCAGCTGAATATTTTCCAAAGTCAGGATTTGAAATGCTTTCATCTCAGTAGCAGTTGTGTTTGCATTCAAGGCTCCACCCATCCTGATAACTTTTAGATTAAATAACATTCTTAGAGGATCTACAGCTCCATCAGATCATTCTTCTTTGCATGTCTTTCTGCAGCTATTTGCTTTCTGCACAGCTGCTCTCAGTCATGTAGCACTATGCTCCCGCCTGTATTGTCCAACAGCTGCTATGGCAACCGACACAAACAAGCCCCAACAAACAGCCCATTTGTCTGTCTGTCTGTCTGACTGCCTTCATGCCACCCTCGCTCGACTAACAAAGACGCTCCCTGTGACAGAAGAACCTCCACCAAGGTCACTGGGACATGGAGCCAGTGATGGAAACATGCAGAGGATGTTTGGCATTTTAAATTCAAATGTTTGCATCATTTGGTTACATCTGCAAAGCAAAGAAGTCAATTGTAATTTTCAGAAATTGTATCCTTAATTCAAAGGAAAAAAAAAGTTGTGTTTGTGAAGTCTAAAAATAGGATGAATTATCTTCATGTTTGGATCGCTCCTGCAATAATATTTATCCTGTTCAAAGATGTCTGTCATCTCATTTTGCACAGGAAATCCCACACCTCTGTAGTCGCGGCTGATGCGTCCAGATGTTTGTGTGAGCCTTGGCATGGATACACCTCCCAGCTTGATCCTGAACCTGATATGCAATTCTGGAAGCTCAAAGTATAAACACAAGGCAGATGAAATCCAAGAAATGTACAGAGGAAGGCGCCAGCTGCATGTTTGGCCACAGCTTGATTCATGATCTGGAAGCCTTGAGTATTAAAGAGAGGATCATTTCCAGGCACAATTTTAATGAAAGCATGATGCGAGCAGAAAGCACCGTCATAAAGTCTTAACAGTGACTTCCACTGCTCTTAAAATTAATTGTTTTCTATTCACTCAAGGAGAAAGAGAACGAAGCTGTGGGAAATTTACCAATGAAGACCTGCTGTGTCAACATAAATTAGGAACCCAAACATTCATGAAGTTTTTAAATTAGACCCATTAACACAGTAATGGCTGGAAAATAAGGGTTTCACAGGTACCATGATGCACACAGACATGGGTGGCCAGAGCAGCTTAAAGGCTGAGGCAGTTGGACTACAAATGAAGAATGAATTGCAATACTTTACAAAAGTATTCACACCTCTTGAACCTTATCCCTAACTTATAATCAAATAATTCACTATGTTGAATTAGGATCTTTTGTGTTATGAAAACCTGGATGGTGGAGCCAGCTTTATTCTAACTCAGGAGTAGGGCTGGGGGAAAAAAATTTGATTTTGAATCGATTCCTTTACATTTTTGCAAAATCGATGTCTAGGGAATGAGATCGATTAGTTTTATAGTGACGTGCGCGACGTTCACATTCAAATGAGCAGGAAAGATGCTCTCAAGATTACTTCAAGCCTGTCATGATTTTACCCAAATGCAGAAGACCAAGCAGGTAGACCAGGGGAAAAGGTTTAACAGGTTTTATTGAAGAGATAATGCAGAGAGAAGTGTTGCTCTGAACACTGCTCAACCGGAACTGAAAAGTGAGGGGAAGACACAGCGGTTAGTTCAGGCTCAGTGAGAAAATAAATTCGCGAACTTGGATTTACCCAGGATGCGGTTGTTTGTAGTTGAACGGAGAAACGGACTGCCACTCAGATTTCCTGCGGTACTTGAACAGGTCTTAATGAAAATGAATCCCTTTCTCAGTGTGAAGCTCAAACGATCTCTTGGGGAAAGTGGATCCAAACCTACTGTTTGAACCCCAGCTCAGTTTGAAGCTCTGTTGATCCTTCCAGGGAGAGAAGGTCTGAAAAAACCCATTTTACAGCATGACTTCCTGCCGAGAGGCAAAAGACAAACAATGTTAAAACTCAGGTTGACAAGAACTCAGTTTGACTAAGCAAAACTCAGCTTGGCTAGAGTACCCAAAACTGGCAAACACTCTGGCGTTGAGGTAGTGGCAGTCAGCAGCTTAAGAACACTCCGTTAATGAGGAAACCATCAGCAGGTGTGTGAGGAGTTGGACCAGAACCAGGCGCCTCCTGGTGGATGAAGGGAGACAAACACAGAAACACAAACACACAGACGGGAGTCCTGACAAAGCCAGACAGCTGCAAATATAGCCAATAGGTTGACTGAAGACATTAACAAATGGGGGCTGAAAAGCAAGCACCCTGTAGTTGTTGCAGACAACCCTGAAAATATAGTTTGTGCAGTGAAGATAATACAGCTCATGCATGTCTGCTGTGTCCCCCGTTGTGTCACGTCTGCTTGCTTGAGTAAAGCTTCACTTTTTCGCTTTTCACAAACAAGTTTGAAATTTTGAGACAGTTTTGTTCACATCTCAAGTTTAAACTGTCCGATTTACAATTTTGTACTTTGTGTTTAATATGACAGGAAAAAATAAAATACATGAGTATTTTGAAACACAGTTGAACCACTTTCATTATTGTAAAAACAGATCGAACCAAAATAATCGATTTAGAACTGTATGAATCAAAATTGAATCGATTCAGGACTTTGGGGAAAATACCCAGCCCTCAGAGATGGCAAAAGTACTCACTTTCCGTACTTGAATAAAAGTACAGATACTTGTGTTAAAAAATACTCTGGTAAAAGTGGAAGTACTGATTAAACTTCTTTACTCAAGTAAAAGTAACAAAGTAAAGGCTTATAAATTTACTTAAAGTATAAAAGTAAAAGTAGAAACCACTTTTTTCATGCCTACATTTTAAATGGATGTCTGCCAATAGGACTAGATCTCCGTTGTGTTCATTTTCAATCATCTCGTCATCCATGCTACTATGCTAACGCCACCGCCACCAAGCTGCAATGATTTGCCGCCAATGAATACCGCCGAATCTGTCGATTCATCTTGTAGTGGTGCGTCAAATGCAACGTAGATTCCCATCCAATTAGATTGAATTTGGTATTGATGACGCGAAAAATAATAACGGTAACTCCATTGAAATGATTCAAAACTAAAGTAACGAGCCAATTTTTTAAAATGTAAGGAGTAGAAAGTACAGATATTTGTGTAAAAATGTAAGGAGTAGAAGTAAAAAGTCGCCATAAAAATAAGTAGTAAAGTAAAGTAAAAATATCAGAAAAATCTACTTGAGTACATTAACGAAGTATTTGTACTTCGTTACTTCCCATCTCTGCCAGCCCTACTCAGGAGAGGAGAGGGAAAAAATGACCCTTTCAGCCAAAATGCTTTGTGTGACAGAAAACCACACCCTGAAAAAAATAAACATGGTAGTGGCAGCATCATGCTGCTAGAATATTTTTTTTGGTGAGGAGAGGGGAACTTTACAGCGGGAAGATGGATGCTTCCTCCAGCAGTAAAATACAAGCTGATCTTAGAAGATAACTTGTTAGCAGAGAACCTGCAACTGAGTCAGAACTTCACTTTCCTCCACGACAAGACTCTGAACATGGTAACATGGTTACCATAATGGTAACAATGTTTAAGTCCAAACGAAAAGCACTTACACTTTTTAAGAATAAAAACTTCCTGAAACTTCTTAGTGCAAAACCTGCACCTCAGTCAGAATAAGTGGAAAGAAATTCTTAGTTGGATGTTAATTAAAATTTCCCTAAAAATGGATTGATCTAGACCACTGCTGCTCGAGTTGTAAAACCAGGGTTGGTCTAGGAAGGCAACCCATCTCTTCTATCTCCGGTCGTTAATAGTCCCTAACAGATTTTTTTTTCAGGGTAAGGCCTATTTTCAGACTCTGGTCCTCTTCCCATCAAACCTGATCAGCTTCTTGGTCCTCCACATCATGATGCTACCACCACAAGCTCCCTTTTTGGCAATGATTTGTTCAGGTGACGCACAATGTTAGCTTTCTGCCGCACAAGAAATGTTTTTAATTCATACCTAATATACCCATGTTTGA